CCCCGCGGGCCGCCTGCCTCCCGGCCAGACTGCCCTGGAGCCAGAGGGCAGCGCCGGGCCTTCCTAGGGAGTCCCTAGAGTTCTTGGGATCTTCCGGAGGCGGGAGGGGACGCAACTTTCTCCTCTGGCTGAGCCCTGGTGGCCCCTAGCAAATTTAGCGTCCGAAGAATGCGCGGGATGGGATAGGGGTGGGCGGTGCGGTGGCAGAGTGGCCCAGGGTGGTTCCCCCACCTGTTCCTCCTTTGCCTCTGAGTGCTCTAGTAATCTTCATTTTGAAGGGTAGGAAACGCACCTCGAGGGTGAAGGGTAATCTCTAAAGGTTATGAGCCCAGACAGGAAGCAGAACCCAAACTAGAGACTCCTAACTCAGAATCCAGAGCTCTTCCCTCCTGAAACCAGAAAGAAATCCTTGCCAGCCTCCTTCGTATTTGGTTCCAAACTGGGGTAAAATTTCATGCCCTGACCACTAAATCCCCCCAGTCCCTCAAAGAAACCAAACTTGGTTTGTGGTTGTTACCGGAAACTGAACCTTAACATACTGTAGCACTGACTCAAGTCCTTCATACTGAGCTACGCTCCCAACATTTACTTATTTACATTTATAGACAGGGTCTCACTAGATTGCCTAGGCTGGCCTCAAACTTGCCATCCTCCTGAGCTTCCCAGAGTGCTCAGATTCTGGCTGGCTAAGAAGAGGGAGTGGCCGGGGCTGGGAGAGGAAGACACCAGAAGTCTACCTCTCCTAGGCCTGCTTTTCCCTCTTCTCGGGCAGAGTGGTGGGTTATTGGGAGCAGTACATGGCTAGAGCCGAACGGCTTAGAGTTTCTTCCTTCTAGGGTTGAGTAGAGAGGTAGTGCTAAGGTAAGGCGCAGGTAGACCTGAGGGCAAGGGTGAATCTGTCATTTGACTCGGGGCAAAATGAATCATTTCAACAGCCAGGTAAGCTACTTCGGGCTCCTTCCCTCACTCTTTGTATCTGCCGTGGTGTGATGTAGGGCTCCACATTGGAAGTGGAAGGTGAAATCTGTCTACTAAGTTCTTCTGTCCCGTCTTTATATATTCCCTGCAGAGCAGCCTGAAGAGAAGCCGGGCCTGGCACAAAGGAAGGGTCTGTGGCATTGCTAAGGCCTTGGAATTAGTTGGAAAGGCCCAGGCCTCATTCCCTGTAACTGGGATTTGGCTCTGAGTTATAATCTATTGTTAGGGCCGATGAGGAAGTCAAGCATTCTGGACAGCTCCAGCCAGCCCTTCTTGCTTGGAGCCTAGGCTTGTTCCAGGGCTCACCCCCATGAGGGGTCCTCTCCTCTCTCAGGCCTGGGCCTGATGTAGAGTAGTAGTTGCTTTGCTGGGGAGTTGAGGGGACAGGTGTACAATGTCTCCGTGGGGCCTTTGGGCAGTGCACCCTTGTCCAGTGTGGCTGACAGGTGTTCCCTGCGACTCCTAGAAAGCTCTGTTCGTGCAGTTTGCTGAAGTGTTTCCCTTGAAGTTGTTCGGCTACCGGCCTGATCCCATGAACTACCAAACAACTGTGGGCTGGTTGGAACTGCTGGCTGGGTTGCTGCTGGCTGTGGGCCCACCGATGCTACAAGAGATCAGTAACTTGTTCTTGACCCTGCTCATGATGGGTAAGGGGGCCAGTGGGCCTGGGGAGATGGGTCTTCTGGGGGAAGATGATAGATTTAGCGTTCACCTTATTGCTGTCACCTTTTTTCTCTGGGAACAGGAGTACTTCCTGCTCTGCTTTGATTTCCACTCTTCAGGGTAAGATAGGTGCTTTTGCAACTTAACATGCTATAACACTGACCATGCCAAATACGCTTTCTCCCTCATCGTGCCTGCGCAGTATTCCATTGTGAGGATGTATTGTAACCTCACAGCTCCTACTCCTTCCTCCACATGCCCACTCCTGGGATGAGGGGATGGAGCGGCAGCTGCCTCTTGACTTAAGTGTCTTGCAGGTGGGTAGAGAGCAGGGAAGTGAGGCCCCTTGAACAAGAAGGCAGAGAATTTCCCTAGAGAAGCCCCTCCTAAAGCTCTACCCCTAGGGGCTGCTCATGTTCAAATAGAGCTCATACTTCAATTCCCAGACACCTTCAGGCTTTTCTACACCCCCTGGCCAATGTCACCATTTTTCCACTACTACCACCCTGCCCCTCAAGCATTCTTTTCCATTTCCTGAACTTTCTTCATTTTAAGATCTTTGCCACACTTCTATCACCAATCCTTTGGCCTCCTTCCCTCCAGTAGATGTAGAATTAAGACAGGAAAAGAATCAGGGAGAATTTGTTCCCAAATCTCTGTCCTCCCACCTTAGTCCCTGGTTTGGCTGGATCATTTCTTTTTCTTTCTTGCTGTCTGAGAGGGCCTGTCTTAGTTCAAAAGGGTTCTAATTCTCGGTCCTGCTTTCTCTGTGAGATCAGATATGAATATAGCTGGTTTGGAGTGGGGTAGATGGTTCAGTATATAACCAGGAGCTTGGACTGGAGTGGGTCAGCCTAGGCTGGAACTCCTGCGTCCCTGGATCTCCTTGGTGATCTGGGGAGACTCAGGGACCTCACTTTCCATTCCAGGGGCTATCTTCACATTGGCCTGTCTGAAAGAGTCCCTGAGCACCTGCATACCTGCCATCATGTTCCTGGGGCTTCTGAGGCTGCTGGATATCTGCCAGTCCTTAGCCCAAACTAAAAAGGTGTACAGATACCATAGGAAGAAGACTCCATGTGTGTTCAAGAAACCCTGGGAGCAGAGAGTCTCTTCATGCCAGCTATGACAGCAGGAACATGCTGGAACTTACCACCTTATTACCATTTTGTCCCTAGTCATCCAGTGTTAAAAGAAACATCTGGTCTACCTGGCCCTGATTTCTCTCTGGAACTATGCTGCTCTGTTTTGAGGGGTGCATATTACACATATTAATAATCCTCATGTCATGTGAAATGGAAGATAAGTAGGAAAAAAGTGAATCACCCAAATAACCACTTTTCATACCTTGATATATAAGTGTATCTCTCTACCTTTCCTATTCCTTTGTCCAGATACATGTTTTTAAATGAAAGTGAGACAGTTTAATCTACTTAGTTATCTACTTTTTAAGCCTGACATTCTGCCATTGTTTTACCTTATTAATATTAACGGCTACATGGTATTCCAGTCTAGAGGTATATATTGTATTTACCCCTAGAAGGAACATTTGGGTTGTCCCCAATTTCCTGTAATTGTAAACCTCTCAACAAATCACCTCTGCATACTCACTGTATTTGCGTTCCCTGAAAATGAAGATCCTGGTTCACAAGGCATGGCGGTTCTCAAGGGAAAGTGGGCAACATGCTAGAGCACCTACTGCCGTATCATCAACCGTGTTCACTTTAGTCCAGTGAGGTCCTTATGGGAATCTGCTTGCCTCCCACAAGGGAAAAAGTGAAGGAAAACAGTTCATTTAGCCATCTGCCTGTAAATCCTTTGGAGTGGGGACAATAGATTTGGGGAACCCGCAGTGGTAAAAGACATCTATGTGTATTACTCCATTTTGTGTTCACTATACAATGGTAATTCCTGCTCTGTCCGTGGCAAACCTCAAGCAAACTGACACTTAGTTGGCTCTTTTCTTGTGTCTTCAAGCACAGTGATGCACTTAATCTACCTATAACAAGGATGAATCAATCGTATGTAAGTGCACATGCCATAGTCAAAACAATAAGACTTTTTCTCTCACATAAACAGATTCAGAGATAGCTTAGCTTTAGTTTCAGTGTTGGCTAATTGGGCTAATTAATAAAACCATTAAGAACCAAACTTTCAGCTTTCTGTTCTGCTTTTAAGACATTGGCTACTACCTTCAGAGTTGCGAAAGAGCTGCAGCAGCTCCAGACAGCACGTTTGCACATAGCATCCAGAGTTGAAAAGGTAGAGAGGAAAGCTGTCTTAGAAGGCCTGAGATTTTCCTTCATATCTCACTGGCTGGAATTGTGTCACATTTCCATTCCTAAACCAATCACTAGTAAGGTGGACAGGAGTGGGTGGGAGGGACGGTATTATCTGGCACTTCCTAGCTCTTTTTACCTCTCCATGCTGGAGTTTAAACCCCAGGGCCTTGTACGTACTAAAGTATTCTACCTTGAACTACATCTCTAGCCCTTTTATTTTTTGAGAAACAGTCTTACCATCTTGCCTAGACTGGTCTTGAACTTGTGACCCACCTGCCTTGACCATCTAGTAGCTGGGATTACAGATCTGTACCCTTGAGCTGGCATTTCATAACATGTAAAAAAAATTGACCATAACAGTAAATATTTCATAGCCTGGAACATAGTAAGTGCTCAGTAAAGGCTATTAAATATTGATTTGTTCTACCAATGAGACTATAGATCTGGAAAGCTTTATTACCTATGTGTCAAAACTGAGTCTAAAAGTAAGGTCTGAATGATTCCAGAACCCATACATTCTACCGTACTAGCTGCCAAAGCTGAAAATGGGCAAGCATGACACCTGGGATGACTTGTCCACTGTGATTAAATTTTCCCTGCTTTCCAAAATTGCCCCTCTGCCTGAAAATTTTGAAACTGGTGAAAATAGAGTCCGGAGCCCCTGAGATCATGGCCTCATAGTTTCTCCACTCTCTAGGATGCCACAGCCAGCCTGTCTCCAGCCAGGACTTTGAGTAAAACCCGTCACAGCTGACATGCTGTTGAGGGCATCTGTTTACCAAGGTTTGGCCTGTGGGTGGATTAGCAGTGACCAGCTCCTCAAGCTTGGCTGTAGGGCTGACCCAACAGCTGTGGGACAAGCAAGGTGCTGGAGAAATGGGCTCGCTACCTGATGAGGAGGAGCAGTTGGGAGTGACAGTACAGGAGGATCCTGAGCCTCAGCAATACCTCCTTGATAGCCCAAAGAGAAGCCAGGCCTCAGAAAGTATGTCCCTCCAATCCGCAGCCTAAGACTAGGTCAGCTCAGCACAATGGCATTCAGCTGCCTGGTCTTCCTAATATTTTATTTCTTCCTTCCTGTGCTGAAGGCTCTCCTACCCTGCATGACACTCCCTTCCCTTGGGGCCCTGGCTGCACCCCCACAGAACCAGCTCACACCTGCCACCTCCAGCTGTTGAGCCCATTCTTCAAGTCATGTCCTGGGGATTAACTTGGAGCTTCTGGCATAGGTGGGTGGCAGGGGATTCTGTCTTGTCTCAACACCTTAAAGCTAGGGCCCCAGGACCCCAGAGAGCTCTAGCACCTAGAACAAGAGGTAATTTGAATAGTCTTGTGGGATGATGAAGGGAGGTTCTGGATGGGATTCACGGAGGCTAGAGCAGAGGTGGATAGAACCAAAGGAGAAGAAAATACACTCACCCAATGCTGCAGAAGACCAGAGCCTGAGGGGCTCCATGGCAGAAGTCCAGATTTTGGTATTGGAGGGATATGTTTAAGTGTCAAAAATAGTAACAGGAAATTGGCTTATGCACTTATCCCCTCAGGGAGAGGGTAGGATATGCCCAGATGTTTTTGTGTTGTTTTGCTTGCTTAAGGTGTCTGCCTCTAACATTGTATATGTGCCTTTGTGGGTGTGCACATTAATCTGTGTGCTGCCTCAAAGGGAAGGAGCTAATAGTTATGAAGTATCTCCCCGGTGTCACCCACAGGGCTCAGAGTTTTACTTATGTTTTCTCATAATCCTCTCAACAACCGGATGAGATAGGTAGTTTAATCTCCACTTTACAGCGGTGAAGTCACCCTCAGCGAGCCTGAGTAACTTGCCCAAGGTTACGTGGCAAATAAATGTGTGTATCCAGAAGCTGCCAGATTTCTGGGCTGTGTTCTTTTTGTTTTGCTGTCCAGAATTCAGAGTCTGATGTAGGACTTCTTTGTGATCAAAGGATGAAGTATGAGGAAACAGCCTGGAAGGTTTGAGAGCTGTGAAACCTTTTGAGCTCTGCTAAGGGTGTTGCAGATCTTGGGGTACCTTCCCAGGGGATCTTCACCAAGGCAAGTCCAGGGTCACCATGCATAGGCCTGTCTTTGGTCCTGGCATCACAAGACCATTCCTCCATCTATGCCTCATTCCCTCTACCACTGATCTGGGTGGTGCAGGGTAGGGCGGGGCCTTTTCTAGGAAGGGCTCTCTTTACATTCCAGCTTGGTTTCCCCTGCACTCCTTGTTGGTTTGGCCCTCTGTGGGTTTACTTCATACATCTGTGGCCCATATCTTTGACCCTATTTCATCCATAAGGGGCATTTCCGCTGTCTAGTCACCAAAGCTGGAAATGTTTGAGCTGTCTGGAATTGCTTTTTCCTCATTCCGCACAGCTTTTCACCAAGAACTCTGGAATCCACCCCGCTCCTCTCTGGCTGAATTTGTTCTCATCTCTTCTCTCGTGGACTTCCTTGTCTCTAATATGCCCCCACCACACACACACAGCAAGGACTGAAGGACAGGGGACTGCAATGGGAAGAGGGTGGAATTGGGTGGGTCTTCTTTTGTAGGCAGGCCTCCATAATGACCTTTCTTCTTCCACAGTTCAAGGTCAGGGACGAACAGTGTTGAGGACCTGGATGTTAGAGCCTGTAGTGCCTGGGATGACCTGTTGGATTTATCATGATGTCCTCAGCCTATGATGATGCTGGGCCAGGGGCTGCCTGCCATTGAGGCTCCACTGGCAGTGTTTGTCTACAGCAGTGGGTGCATGGGCCAGGCCCTGAGTCTTTACTTGCTCAACCTGGCTCAATAGAGCACTGCTAGGCACAGTTGGGCCTGTCTTGTGCCACTGGGACCCTCTTTGTGGCCTTCTTCCTAAAGGTGTTTGTGCCCTAGCCAGTTTGGTGTGGTGCTCTCAGCCCGCACTGACCCTTGCCCTACCCTGCCCTGCCAGTTCACAACAGCACAGTGTCAGGGATGACCATGGTGTTGGGACTGCTGTTGTCTTTGTCCTTCCACACACTGCTGGTGCCCTGGGTGGCAAGACAAGAGGGCATCAGGTGCTGTACCATCTCCACGCTCTGTGTCCTGAACACCCTCAGCTTGGCATTACTGGGCCTTAACAGTTACCTGGACAAACTCATCTACTGCTTCTTCCTGTGCTGCCTCCTACAGTACTTCTGGGCACTAAGCTTCCGGGAAGCCCCAGGTGGGCATCAGGGTTGCATAGAGCCTCCTTGACCTCTACCAAGAGAGGCACTCTTACTCTCACCCTCCCAGGGGTATTTTGGGTTCAGAAAGCTTGTTGGAAGAACCTAGGTTCCAATCCTGTGGCAACCCCATCCTAGCAGAATACCTGTCTGTAGCAAGGGAAAGAGCATTTTTTGTAATCCTAGACTTTGCCACCTGTCGAATATAAATAATATGCCATTGCATTTTAAACCTGATGGTATAAAAATCTTAATGAAACTATGAAGCTCTGCCTGATGTGACTCCTGCTTGCCTCCAACTTCATCCTCTGTCATCCCTGCCTCTCTTCTGGCTCAGGCACCTTCTCAGCCCAGGAACCTGCCCAATTTCTATCCTTCCAGCCTTTGTACCTGACTTGGCCAGGAATGATCTCCCTCCCTCTCCATCACTAAGTTAATTCTTCTCTGTTCTCGTGTCCTCAGAAGTACCTCACATAGGGAAACCTTTCTTGGCTACCAACACAGATATGCACGCGTGCACATGAGACTGGATCACCTCTGATTTCTCCTTCGTAGCCCTGTTTACATTTGTAATCAAGCCATTAATTGGGCAATGCAGATTTTTTTCTCATGCCAGAATGTATTTACAATGATCCATACAAAATTGCCAACTTGTGGGTCCAGAAAAGTTGAACATTGGCAGTTTTATTTTCATTTAATTCAGCCTCATACATTCCATGCTTTCCTTGCTCACTGTGATAACTCTTGTCCTTGGTATGATAAGAACTCACAGTATCAAATGAAGGAATGAAATATGAATTCATTAATATAAGACTCTAAAGTACTCAGACAACCTGGTCTCTGGTAAAATTTCCTCAAGTGTTTGTGGGATTTTCTAAGCTTGTCTTACCCCAGAGCCTTCCTGATCTAGCCAGGATGACTGCTTCCTTCTGCTGTTGCTGGAGACTTCTGTCTCTGCCATTACCTCTGCTGTGCCAAGGCTTAGTAGTAACCAAGCTGGAGATCCATGCTGACATCAGCTGGGACAGGGATTGGCTAGACTTGCTGCCTTCAGCATCAGCTGATCTGAGACTTTCACAGGTACAAATCTCTGCCAATGGCTCGGGCTCTCAGTGCTTTCCTCACTCCTATGCCTGGACAGCTCAGCTATCCAGTTCTAGTGGGGATGGGAACCTCCCCCATATTACTGGGGGTCCCACAGAAGACTGCTTGAGTCTACAGGAATTGGAGGTTGGCGAGTGTGTGCAGCAAGTTTATGTGGTCAGGAAAGGTCCATCAGCCAGCCATGTGTCTTGCATACCTTTAGTCATTGCGCTTGCAAGGCAGGCGGTGGAACCCCTGAGTTAAATCCCTGGCCCTCTGAGTGTTTCTTCTAATGATAAATTTCTGCTTTTCTTGTTGACAAATTACTTCTCATTGGTCCCCTTTTCCTTCTTTAACTTTTCTTACATGTTTTAAAGGTAATACATGTTCATGAAAATAAACGTAAAATGAAAAGAAAAATTTAAAATAAAAAGTAAAGGTCCCCCAAGGTGCAGCCACTGTTCACAGTTTCTTGTATGTGTGTATATTTCTAGATGTTTTCTATTCTAGTATAAATCCATGGATAGTCAATTTGTGTCAAAAGCCTGCAATTGGGATAGTTTAAAAAGGCTCTTCTACAACTTGCTT